AGCAACCAGAATTGCGCAATCTTCAATTATCTCCACCAAATAACCCAACTTGGGCATACCCATAAAAGACAAGGCCACTTTCGACAAACAAAACCGTTTCTTCTTCTTCGCCAGCGCCCCATTATACTCCTTGCAGAGTTCTCCAAAACACTCGTGGACCAAAAATTGCCTCTCGCCGTCGCTAATTCTCGACAAACCAGATACTAAAGTTCGATGCAGAGGGGGCGAGTTCTCCATGAACAAAACTTCCAAGTAAAAACGAGAAGCTAATTCCAGAAGACTGGCATTAATTTCACTATCTCTAACTAAGTTGGAGAAGGAAGAAGCCAGGGCCTTGGCATGGGCTACTTGAGTGTAGATGGAAGTCAGCGAAATCAAATGGTTGAGGTCTCCGACGAAAGCTGAACACTTCGGATTGGAATTGGATGCTAAGAGAGAGCGAGACAAGATGTCTGCATATGAGGGCGGGAAAATCACGGCGTTGTATGTGTAACGGTGACGGTGCTGCAGTGCCCGCCATTTCGCAGACATGCCGCCGATCAATTGCAGCAGTTCCCCCCGCTCCCAGGCTTCAGTACTACCTGAGACAGGCGGCGGCGGCCAGTAAAGGAAAAGTTTCTGCTCTGCCTGTTCTTCTCCGGTGGAAAATCGATGACTGAGAGAGTTGAAGTTAGGGCAAAGAAAGCGGGAAGACTGGTGGTTTAATCCGTTAGGCCCAGCAGATAAATGGGCTTCTTTCTTTTTAGGCTCAAGCTCTCAACTGCAGGCTTACTTTCATCAGCCAATCATAGATACCTAGCCCATTAACAATCTAACCCATTTTGATTTACTTGTATATCCAAAACTTTCACGGTTGTGCAAATAATATTCAAATTTTTCGAAATATCACTTATATCCAATTCCTTCACATTCTTTAACGGTGTTTTTAGATATACAAGTGTATTTAACCAAAAATATATTGGAAAATGGATAGATTTGGCAAAGAACAACTTTAAAACATGGATATAAGTGGTATTTTGAGAAATTTGGATATTATTGGCACAACCCTGAAAGTTTTGGATATACAAGTGTATTAAAACTAATTGTTAATGTGGTATTTGTATAGTCAAATAACTCATTTATAGGGGTCGTTTGGTTTTTGTGATAGTTAAATTGATGCATTGTCATCAATGCATGTATAAATATGCATGTATATAAAAAAATTGGTGTATTGTAGATTACATCGTTTGGTTTATGTGATAATTATTGTAGTATTTAAACAAGGTATATTACTTTTTGGGTGAATGTCACTTTTACCCTTTGTTTTTAATGTTAAAAAGTAACACATATAAAAAGGTAGGGACATAGTTGGAAGAAAAAATAACCCAACAATCTCCACCAAACAATCTCACAAAAAACTTGAGATTTAACTATCACTCATTTTGAGTGATAGTTTGTGTCACATCAAGCAAACAATGCATGTATTATTTGTGCAGAAAATTCAAAAAAAAAACAATGCGTTGTAGACAATACATGCATTGTAACTATCCCATCAAACAATCACCAAAACCAAACGACCCATAGTTCATGTGGTATTTCAGTGTTATTTTAGTGGTAAATGAAATAAAGTATCTCGTTTGGTTAAATCATGCAAATGTGGTATTTGGTAGAAGCAGAGTGGTAAAACGAGTTATTTCAAAATAACACATGAGTGTGAGTTATTTACAAATAACTCGTTTTGAGTTATTTGAAATAACTCACTGTCCAAATAACTCATTTCAGTAAAACGCTGTCAAACGAATTATTTGTGTCCAAATAACTCACAAATAACTCGTACAAATACTCCTCCAAATAACCCCTTAGGTTGATATGTTTAGGGGTGTGCAACGATCCGGACATGACCGAATCAAACTTATAAGAATCGCGATCCATTAATAAAAAATACATCTTACACCAAGGACTGGAACATTAATGCATTAGATCATATTTTGTCAACCCAAGCTGTGGCTGAGTTAGATGGCTTCCACACCACATGTTAAATTCCGGTATCTTTTTTTTTAGGCATGATTCCAGCAGTGTGGCTGTTAGAGTAGTGTTAGTGTTAGGTCGCCTATCTGCAACACATATTAGGACATCTGTTAACCTTCCTCTCAGACCATCAGAAAGCGACTGATTAATTACTTGATCTGCAATAAGATATGAATTGTTGCCGTAACCTACTGATGTCTGTTGCTCCAGGTGCTCAGTCGTGGCCATACCTAAAGCAGCCACATGGAAGATGGAATATAGTTTTCCAAAAAGGGTTAATATTTTCGTATGGCCTGAACTTTGACCAAAATAAACATCCAGGCCAATCTTTTCGATCTATAACATCCTGGCCCGAACTATACACCAAAATAAACAATTTGGCCAAACCCGATGTTTGACCGTTAACTTGGACGGTCAAACGCGTTGACTAACGGTCAACACGCCATGTCACTACCAAGTCAGAAGATCTGATAAATATTTAATTGTTTTCGTTTTTTATTTTTGGTTGAACTAAGGTATTAGATGACTTTTTTTAAATTTATAATAATTTAAAATTAGGGAATGTGTGGAAATTGTGAATTATTTTAAATATTTTATGCTGACTTGGCAGTGACACGTCGCATTGACTAACGGTCAACGCGTTTGACCGTCCAAGTTAACGGTCAAAAGTCGGATCTGGCCAAATTGTTTATTTTGGTGTATAGTTCGGGCCAGGATGTTATAGATCGAAAAGATTGGCCAGGATGTTTATTTTGGTCAAAGTTCAGGCCATACGAAAATATTAACCCTTCCAAAAACTAGCGCATGTCAGTTTTTCTAAATCCTTGTGAAACGGTTTCGTTATTGGAAGAATGGTGAGAGTTGCGAGTGAAGATGGAATCAGCAAACATGATACGGCGAGGAAAGCCACACAAAGTTTTCTTTTTCCACCGGGGAAGTTGACGACCGCACTACTGACGATCAAACTCCAGTGGTGGCTTTTGAAGCATTGATTTAGCTAAGCCTACCTTAATTACGGCACTAATTAATACAAATCTGTTGGCGCCTGCTGCTGCCACCTGGTCACCAACTAATATTGCACGATCCCCTTATGCACCACGAGCTGAGAAGAGATACCGTTCCACTCACAAACTGACAAACATATCCAACATGTCGCCGTCCAGTCCAAGATCTCACTCACACCACTCAGCCACGTGGATGCTCCACTCCTTCATCAAATCAAACCCTAACTAGCTACTATACTCCGTTATCATTATACATTAATCATTCTCCACCCTCCAAACTTGATTGATTTGACATTTCATTATGTATGATGAATCGTGGTGGGTCGACATATATGCAATCGTTGAATTGATGCGGTGATATTTTGAATAGTAACGTCAACATTATGATAAATAGGGTAAAGAACAAATTTACAACTACATTAATGTTGTGGTTGAATTTGTTTCTGGAATATTTGATTAATTTGATCGATGTCGGTATGTGTTAACTAGCTTTCACCCATTCGATTGTTGGATTGGAGCAATGATAAAATGTATAACAACGTCAATTTGTCTAATATAAAAACATAATTAATCCAACAACATCAAGAACAACCTGGGGCTGCGTGCATTTGATTACCATGTTTGAACAATCCGAGGTTTCTTTTTACCCCCACCCCCCGGCAATATGGGGTGAAGGATCGGTCGGTTCGGTTATAACCGGAAACCAAAGTGTCTGTTACCAGTTAACCAAACCACCTCCCAACTCTACCGACCACCCATCGAATGAGGGCTTAATACTTCGATTTAACCGAACCGCCTCCCAAGACCAAAACCATCTCGCTTAGTATCCGAAAACCGACCGATTTTCGATTAGTGGATTACCGACCGCTTTTTTGTTTGTCATAGAAACCCTTGCGGATTAACTAGATAAGCACGGGATAGCCACAAAACAACGACTTCTTCGTGAGAAGATAGTCAAAGGAGAAATGGACAGTTAAAACGAACACTACTAGAGCCAGAGTAGCATAAGGCATTACGTGCCACAACATGGGCAACCCTATTCGCTTCTCTAGGAGTAAAAACAACATAAACCAGCGGCATTTCTTGCAACATTAAGATGACTTCTCGTAAGATAGCTCCCGCAAGAATATCGTTGGCATAGAAAACCGGCAAATGGTGAACAACAACAAGAGCATCACTTGTGATCACGACCGGTCGATCCTGCCACTGCCATTGTCGAAGTAATAAAAGCGCTTCCCGAATTGCCAACACCTCCATAATCTTGGGATGAAAAAGACATGGGAAAAAACCACCCCTTGCAAAAACTGGCACAAGATGATCAAAGCCAACCATACCGATGGCGCCATGAGTCGGAGCCCTGGTAGCCCCATCAACAGCAATGCGAAAACTAGATTGAAGCAACGGACGAGAATGGGACAGGGGTCTGGACGGTAACGAAGGCGATTGATAGGGAAGTCGGTTAACCGCTAACGATTGTCCAGTCTACCCGCAATAATTACTAATGCTAATATCTTCCTTGAATGCCGAGCGAGGTGGCGTCCCATTATATGGGGGTATCGTAAGCTTATCTGCTCAACCAAAAAAAACCGCAAGCTTATCACCATGAAACGGCTACGGATTGGGCCATGAGATTGAGAACACATGCAGTTGTCCCGGTCGTCGTCCCCCGTCTTTGTTGGCGTCTCAAAGTAGTAAACATTAGAAACCAACCACGTAACGTAACATGTCGATCAGCAGGTCAAGACATGACGTGGGTGTGTAGCCGGCTTTTTCTCTCGCAAAACTTTGACCCCCCCCGCCGCCACGTGTCCGCCCCAAGTTCTCTCTGGCCGGTCAAAGATTAAGATCTTAGATCCCCCGCGACACACACGACGACAACCCACAAACAACAGTAAGTAAGTTAAGTTACAATAATAATAAGATTATTAGAATAACAAGTAAAAAAACCAAACACGCACAATTAATAAGCAGCCGTACACGTCGACCTAGCTAGGCTGCCTATAAATCTCAGCCATTATTAGTGATAAAGAATTCAATTAATATCTCCCTCTCTCTCTCTCTCTCTCTCTCTCTCTCTCTCTCTCTCTATTTCCGCTGATCACAGAAGAGAGCTATGACAGTCAGGAATAACAGGGAGTCTCCGGGCGAGAGGAAAGGGTACGTGCATAGCCAGGTGCTGCGGATTCGGGAGGAGGATTCGCATGTGGGCCAGGATCTCCTTGACGACGTTTTGAAAGCCGGCGCCGGGGTTGATCATAATAATAACTATGGCTTGATGATCAAGAATATGGTGGCTGCTGCTGCGGCTTCGTCGTCGCCGGTGATCATGAATGATCGAGTAGTGGTGTTGTTGACGAGACCGCTGTTGCCTTCCTCCCCTCTTAGCCGTAAAACCACCGTCAATTAATCACAGGTGCAAATTTGTTCCTTCTTTTTTCCGGTTCTGTTAAGTCTTTAATTAGTTTTCTCCCTGTGATTAAAATGGATCGTGAGCGGTTAAGTTTGTTTTCTTTCTGCGTGGCTGGCAGCCGGGGATGAAGAACCGAGAGAGATCGATTGGCCGACGGCGGGACTTAATTGGGGGCGTGCCACGTGGGCAGGATGGATCGAGTTGGTGTTTATGTTTTAATTTCTTTTTACTGGTAAATTTCATGTAGTTAGGTGTCAAATATATGGGGTTTTTTTTTCCTTCTGTTTTGCCTCGTTTTTTTCCTGGTAATTTGTGAGGAAGACAAGGAGAGATGATACTCTGTAAATTAGTGTGTGGAAGTCGTCCGTTCTTGTACAGAACTGAGATGCTATTATCTTTCACCAAAACCTGCGATAAAATCCCTTAACTTCACTAGCTTATTACCCGGCCCGTTGGCCGGATTACTGTATGTTACCCACTTGTGGAATGGGAGAGAAAGTAAGTGAGAGTGAAGGAATTGGGATTTCACTTGATTAGGACCGACCCACTAATCTGATTCTTCCCGACCCGCCCCAACCTAAAGGGTCAGAAAGAGTCAATAAGAAAATACGAACGGAGAGGATTAGTCATATATCTTTACTCTTCATAAGTGGGTCAAACAGGATCAAGGTTGGGTGAGGGCAATTTTTAGCGCTAAGCAGAGTTCTGGGTTGAATAACTTTACTTAGGCCTAGAAATTGGTGCTGATGCAGACTGCAGTTTTTATTATACCATCATCAATCATCATTGAATTAGTCCTGGGCATCCCTCTCCGTTGTCGGTCTGAATTCTAATGATGGCTTCATTCCTTGCACCAGCCATATCAGCGAGTTGTCATCTCGAGCATGATTTGCCTATGTACAAATGATACAATTAGAGTATGAAACTGAATTCAAAGAAAAGGAAAAGAGAATTCTATCTCATGCCAATAAATACACACATAATAGTTAAAGCTAAGTGAAAGTCATTACTCGCACATCAATTCTAAAAAATTACAGACTAAACAATGGCTAGAATGGCACTGAAACTACCAAGAATCATGGACGAAACAACTTGTCAAATTAAATAATCCTTATACTGAAACTACCTTCTAACTTGAAATAAGACATGATCACAGTTCATAGCACTCTTATCACTATGAATTGGTTGCAGCTCGTCCTTATCACTGCCTCCCAAGCTCAATTCAAACAGAATAGAGACCGTTATGTAAGATAACCATATCCTTACTGATCATAATTCCTTTCTTCACTCATTTTTGTCGGAGAAAAGAGTTATCCCCCTCTCCTGCATTTCCCTTTCCCCCTCTCTTCTCCCTCTTCTTCACAAACCGATCCCTAAACCAGCAACAACAACACAAAAATAGCCTTCGCCTCTGCCATCTCCATCTACTGAACGCGTTGGTGGCAAGACAGTACCGCAGAAGCAAAATTTTCTAAAATCAAACTAAATTTTTTGAAGGAGACTCAACCACGAAAAAAGAGTAAAACAACAATGCTAATAGTTCAGATGGTTGGTTTTGATATTATACGTTGCTTTTGTTATGGTCTCCAGTATATTAACAGCAACAGAGATGTTTCCTCCGATCATCTTTAGTGCACGATTTATAAGTAAGTCCTCTTGTTTGTGTCAAACGGAAACATTCATGGGTTCTTAACTCCCCTGTTAGTGTAAATGCAGCAGTAGCAACAAAGAAGTTTGACAACACAGCAAGCACCCAGGCAAAATGATACAATGCAGTAGATGATATGTGTCTCGAAGGTTTTGAGTTACTAAAGTTCATGTTAAAAATAAACATGAATTAAAATGGATTATTTTAAGCAAACATCCCCTCTAATCATACAAAGATCAGATATCCAATTCACAAACAATTAAGCCATAAAAAATCATCACACATCCACCACCTTTGATTGCCTAAATTTGGTTTTTCGCAAAGATATGGACTCTTAAGGGCAACGTTCATGGGTAGTCTGTTTCATAACTCTAGAGAGCACAGTAAGCAGCCACCAGCCAGACACAGTGCGGTAGGCGAATATGATTCTCAATTCACAATTTCTCACCACCGAAAGTAAGAACAGACCATAATAAAAAAGGTTTTTATTATGTTTTAATTTCTTTTTACTGGTAAATTTCATGTAGTTAGGTGTCAAATATATGGGGTTTTTTTTTCCTTCTGTTTTGCCTCGTTTTTTTCCTGGTAATTTGTGAGGAAGACAAGGAGAGATGATACTCTGTAAATTAGTGTGTGGAAGTCGTCCGTTCTTGTACAGAACTGAGATGCTATTATCTTTCACCAAAACCTGCGATAAAATCCCTTAACTTCATTTCCCCCTGTCACCGTTTCCTCTATTGTATGGTGCGTGCATACAAAGGTTATCCATCTCGTAATTATTGTTGTCTACTGTTTTCATTTTGGTTCTTTTTATACTTTTTAAATGATTCTTACAAAAATTTATCATGTCTCATAAATTCTCGAAACATTTATAAAAACTCATATTAATGGTCATTAAAAGATTCAAAATAGTATATTAGAACAACCAAACTCAAGATTACACCGGGTCATCTCCATTCCTTCATACTTGAGCCAGGCCATGCCTAGCTTTCAGCTAATTAGATGGACATGTGTTGTTGATTAGTCAAAGAACTATGCTTTTTGGCTTGAAGATTTACATGCCTAAATGTCTAAGGAGAAGGAGGAGGATCAAGCAATTGGGTCTTGGTTGGGTTTAAGCTTTAACGAACTCTAACAAGTTGGGCCCTTAGAGCCCGATTGGACCAGATATCTGTCGATCCACTTCTGAGCCCATTCGAGACAAAGTCCTCCCGATGGCCCATCTAAGCCCCCAAGGCCCAGACCTACAATGAACTGCTCAACTACAACTTAGGCGAGTTAGTGGGTGTCTCTCCTCTTGTGCCACTCACCTCCTGATTTTGCACAAACCTGATTTTGCACAAACCTCGATTGGGATTTTCTTTTTTATTTGATAACCTATGGAAACTCAGCCCCACGCAGGACCTCCCACATTCAGAGCTCAATTAGTCCAGTGGTTTCACCACTAGGCTATGTTACCTTTAGCCTCGATTGGGATTTTCTTTACTCAAATATCATTTACATACCGTTTGATATAAATGAATTTCATAATTTTTTTGGAATTCAATTTGAAATGAAATCTTTTATATTTGATATTTAAAAGAATTCATTTTCAATTCTAAATTTTAGATTCTACTGAATTGGTGCTAGTTATAGCAATTCCGCGGAATTAAGATGGAATTTCCAAATGAATTCCATTATTTATACTTATTTATTAACTAATTATTTCTACATGTGACAATACACAGATTATGCATGCCTAAGACTAACTCCAACCCCAAAAGCTATATTTAGCCTCCCAAGCTCTCAAATGTGCATATTTGCCTCCCCAAAACACCTTTTTGCTCCAACCCTAAAAGCTTCCAAATTTAGCTTCCCACATCTTTTTTTGATTTAATTTCCATAATCCATACTTATTTACAATATCATTCTTGTAATTCACTTTAATTTTTTTATAGTTTGTTATTACTTGTGAAAACAAAATTTTCGATGTAATTTTTTTTTAATTCCGAGATAATTTTTTTTTGTGCAAAATTAGTCATTTTTTATGGCCGTTAAAATGTGTCCGTTGCAATGTGACCGTTTTATTGTCACTATATTACTTCTTTCAAACTAAAACGCAAACACACCCACACAAACTAAAACGCAAACATACCCACACAAACTAAAACGCAAAAACACCCACACAAACTAAAACGCAAACAAAAAATGAAAAAAAAATAATAAAGCAGCAGCAGGGGATCCCGCGTGCGGCCCAGGCGCGCCTCCGCGGGTGGCCCTCGCCTGCACGCGGGGTCCCCCTTCCAGCTGCTATTTTTGCCCCTTTGCTCCATGGAGGCTTCTATCTATCCACCCCAACACTCCATTCTCCAAATTTGGAAGCAAAATTGAAGGTGGGTTGGAGATGAAAAAATGCAAAATGTTCACTTTCTCCAAATTTGCAAGCAAGGGTTGGAGTTAGTCTAACCCTAGTCTTTTTGACGGTATATTAACCCGAGATATATAGCTTGTCCTAAACTGTGCATTCTGAGCGGCTCCAAATTCCATTATTCGGGCTAAGCGGCAACCTGCTATATGACAATGGAACCAACCCTCGTACTATTGATAATAACTTTGTCACTTGCGTGTTTTAGAAGATGGATTATCAATGAATATGATTTCCGCGGGAAATTAATAAGGGTATAGCTGGAAACTTTTAATTTGATTCAATTCTGAATGTATGCTAAACATGGTTTGAGAATTCAATTCATTTTATTTATAAAGAATCGAATAAGACATACAAAACACAAAAATTCATTTGACAATGAATTCTACAAAGTATTCATTTTTAAAATGAAATGAATTCTCGATTCATTTGGTACAAACGGGTATGTTAGAGTTGTAATAAAATGAAATTATTCAAAGTAGGTTATTAGATTCCTCAACTACTATGATAAAGGTTCCGATCCATGCTCCCATGAAAATCGAACGCTCTCTACAACCAAACATTTACTCTTTTATTATAAATAACAAGAAACATTAGTCCTTACTACTAATAAATGACTGCGGGCAATTCATAAGAGAAACGAATTTACTAACTCGACTAGTCAAGGCAGGCCATTGTCACAAAAAGAAAGAAGTTCTGAGGTGTCCCTAACTGTATGAAAAAGCTACCATTGCTGAAGAACAAGAGAAAGACGTGCTTAGATTGATCCACATGGGCTTGCCTTTGGGCTAGGGAATGATGAACAAACACAATTTGGCTCCTTATTCTTGGACTGAGGAAATGATAATGATAGTCAAATCGAATGGAAATAGCATTATCAGAACCATTGTTTCGTTTTCAAGAAGGGAATTTGGATTGGAGAGTTGGCAGTAGTACAAGAGGATTGAGGTTGCCAACTGACCTACTACCCACTCTGTGTCAAGCTCAAGTCCCATTAGGTTTAGATCAAGAGGGAGGCAATTCTGTTAAGGACGGTGCCTCTTTCATGCATTTTGTTTTAGGGTTTTGGAGGCATTCATGTATGTTCCATGAACCTGAAATCATTTTTGCAATTTGGGCAGAGGTGATGGTGATAATGACCGGGTGTATATCGGTATTCAACAATCAATCAATTTGCCACTCCTTTCATCGGTACAAAGTTTTATATGCTCTAATTGGATCATTAG